GCTCACTCACCTGCCTTGGCATAGGCCAGCGCCACCTCTGCCAGCCGCTGGCGGCTCTCCTCAGCTTGGAACGACCCATTCTCACTCAGAAGCCCTGCAGGACAGACAGCTGGGTTTGGGGGAGCATCCCGGGCCTTGGCCCGTCTCCACCGCAGTGGGAGTGCTGGTGGCAGCAGGGCTGGTGGAAGGAGGGAAGCTCACCGCAGTGACCGTGGGAGGTGTAGGGGCACAGGCACACGTCGCAGGCCACCAGGAGGCCGGGGAAGTTCTTGCGCAACAGACGGATGGCTTCGATAGTCGGGGAGTCCTCGGAGTCTGCCGCAGAGCCCCGCTCATCCTAGGGACAGGGGAAGGACAAAGCGGAAGGACAAAATCACAGGAAGCCTTTGGGAGGCACAGTGGCCAGCCACCAGGGCACAGCCCTGGCCCTCTCCTTTATCACCACGACCGCCCCTGGACGAGGAGGCACGGGGAGGACTGTTCCCACTTTGCAGAAGGAAACCTGACTTGACCATTCAGAGCTGCAGCCCTACTTAGCTTCCTGATCCTACATGGCTGCTGTTTCAAGGGCAGTGGCTGCGTCCGTTCGGTGGCCCCAGGGCCAGCACAAGGCTGGAGCGAGGGTGTGATCAGTGTGGAACCTCAGCTTATCCTCACCCAGCCTCCCCCTCCCCTTCCCTCTGACCCCTCCTCTGATTTGTCACCTTGGGAACTCTGCTGGGGACGCCAAAGACTAGGACACAGCGCAGGCCCTCCTCCACCAGGGGCTTCAGCATCTCTTCCAGCCGGTTCACACCATACCTGCATGGAGGGGCTGAAGTGAGGCAGGTCCCAGGCTAGGGTCCCCCCACCCCTCTGGCCTGTGCCTCTGTTAAGAGTCAGGGTGCACATGGCACCAGGAGGGCTCAAGCCTCACAGTACATGGAGGGGCAGGAATGCACCCACCAAACAGATGGGAAAACCGAGGCCCCACGTAGCAGAGCTATGGGATTCAGCTGTGGAAGGCCCCGTCAAGGTTCTGTTATTGACCTCCCATCTGAAGTTCAGCGTTCCTCTGCTATGGCACCTCTGGTGACAGGTAGCTCATTACTGACCGAGGCTGCCTCTTTTGTTGTGGAACAACTCTGCCCCTCGAGACAGTCCTTCTGAGCTGAAGTCAGCCTCTCTGGATCTTCTACCTCCTGGGTCTGCTTCTGCTTCCTGTCACCTCCACCTGTGAAACTGCTCCCTCCATCATAACCCTGCCCTCCCCACTCCGTCTCCTACCTGGCCACTCCTGGGAGGCTGGCGATAGGCTGTTTGTCATCAGGAACATCCCTGCAAGAGCGGGGGATGGGCTATAGATTGGTAGCTGTGGGAAGGACCAGTGGTGAGGGGGTGACTGGGAGAAATGGTTGGGAAACTCGGAAGGAATATGGAGGTAGAGATGGTGGGAGGAAGATGGGATCCAGTGTCTGGTTCCCCTGCCTGGCCAAGCCCAGGGCCTGAAATAATAATAGGAATAACAAGAATAACAGTGACAATAAGCAACTGTACTCAAAGAACAGTACTCCTAGGAAGGAGTCAAGTGGTTAAGAACTTGGACACTGAGATCAGAAGGTCCTTGCTTGCTATCCCAGCCACTTACTGACGGGCGACCTTGGCCAAATGGTACTCTTTGAGCCTCAGGGCCTTCATCTGTATCCTGGGTCGATTCATTCATTCATTCAACAAATATTTATTGAGCACTTATTATGTGTCAGGCACTGTTCTAGGCTCTGGCAACACAACAGTGAACAAAACAGACAAAAACCCCTGCCCTCGTGGAGATGACATTCTAAGGGATAATATCCGTATTTTTCTCATATGAATACTGTCAGGGTGGAATGAGATAATATACATAGGTGCTTAGCATACTAGTACCTGGGACACAGTAAGCCCTCAATATGTATCAGCTGTGCTATCGTGACTGATCATGACTGCCACCTCTGACATGTACATAGTACTTTACAGGCAACAAAACATCATCTTGGCTTCTGTCTTGTTGCAAAAACTCAGGATGAAAGGCAAGGGTGATTTTCACTTTCCAAATGGGAAGACTGTAGTCTCTTCAAGGTTTGTTTTTTTCTTAATGGCTGTCCTTAACCCAGTAGGCCACTTTCAATACCTTGAGCTCCAAGCTGACAGCCCACTTTATCCCCGCAACACAGACACCTGCTCTGTTCACGTGCATGCACACACACTCAACCCACCCCCTGCCGATCAGAGACCCGGCTCATTTGCGGACTCACGTGACAAAGATGGGGTAGATGAGGCTGGAGGCACTGAGGCTGGTGGTGGTTGCCTGCCAGGTCCGAAGCAGTGGGTGGAAGTAGCCGCTGTGCAGGACCGACTGGGGCTGCATGGTGGGCAGGGGGCACACAGGGCAGCCGGGTGGCTGGAACTGAGGGCTCCTGGGTGTCTGCCTCGTGCTCAGCTCTGTGAGGGCGACGAGAGGCGCATGAGACGTGCTCCCTGGCACCGGGAGGTGGTCACATACCCGCAGGCTTTTCCAGATTCCTGCTTCCCCTGCTCTCTACCCCAGTGCTACTCCTAGTGGGGCTCACCAATCCCTGCTGGTGTGCACCAAGATAAGTAGGCACTTTCATGAAACTTCAGAAACTTTCAGAAACTTCCAGAGCAAGTTGAATCTAATAACATAAAATCTGGGTTTGTATTTTATTTGGTCTCTTTTTTTAAAACAACATGTCTCTATTAATTCATTTTCATTGCATTTTATCAAAGAATCAGTCTGGGATGGACTGGACGTTACTATGAGAAGCCCTGATCTAGCTACCACTTAAACTTTGCCTATTCCATGAACAATGTCCGTGGCCATGGCAGACATTTTAGAAAAGTACAGATAAGCAAAAAGAGAAAAATTTCCTGTAATTCTACCTCTAGGGGAAAACTGTTAACCCCTTGGTACACGGACACACACTAAGAGGATTAAATCGCACTGTGCTGACAGACAGACAGACATGCCTGTGGAGTGGCCACGGAGGCTGCTTTTCCAGCCCGAGAGCCTCCTGCCGCTCCCCAAGCACACTTGGCTGCGTTCCGCTCACCCTCTTTCC